TTCGGTGGGAAAAGGCCATTGGTCCTTCACCCTGGGCGAGGTCTCAAGGCTGGGTTCTGAGTCCAGATGGGGCAGGAGCATCATGACGGTGTCATGGAGGTGCAGCAGAATTTGCAGCATGGCTGTGTGGGGCCATCGCCTGCCCAGGGGTAGCTTCATGGCCAAAAAAATTAAAAACCAGAAAAACCAACACAATACCAAACTGCTGTGGCATCCAAGAAAGCTGGGCAATCAGAGCAAGCACTGCAGAAGCTTTGCTGTCCCTCTGAGTGGTAGGCAAGCCAGCAGCAGCAGCAGAGAAACGGCTGTCCAAGAGGGTCTCTTTAAGCACGTGTCACTGCAAGCCTCATGCAGCAGCACCCGGAAGTAAATGCTGCCCCCATGCCCTGCCAAAATTGGTTCCAGGTGCCCTTTTTGCAAGAGAGCATCCAGTAAGTCCAGTTTGGCTTTATATAGTCTGAACGCTCTGTTTCAAAAGCTTTTTTGAAAGCTTCTTTCGAAAGAAGCAGATAGTGTAGATCAGTGGTTCTTAACCCTACTGCAGCCTGCACCCCTTCTGTTCTCAAAATATGTTCTCACATCCCTTATTAAAAATCACTGAAGTAGGTCGGTTCTTTAAACCCAAGATATATCATAAAAATCTGCCATGTCTTGCACCCCCAGGAAGGGCATCTTGCACCCCCAGGGGGTGCATGTACCCCAGGTTAAGAATCACTGGTCAAGATGTACCCTTAGACCCATATGTGGGTCAGGAAAGAAGAGCCCATACCCTCCTCCCCCTCATACCCAAATCCACTGCTCCAGCTTGGAGCCCTCCCCAAACCCTGAACCCTTCAGCCCCATCCTTGAGCCCAGAGCTCCCACTAGCATCCTAACCCCTTATCCACATCCCTGCCCAGAGCCAAGAAATGTGGGGAGGCTGTTTGCAGCTGAGTATATGTGCATATGTCACCTAGTCAGTTCCCTGACACAGTGCAGGCCTCAGGTATTGGTGGCACCTTGGGCTCTCTATTCCAGGGGTGGCCAACCCGTGGCTTGTGAGCCACATGTGGCTCTTCCCCCCTTAAAGTGCAGCTTGTGAAGCCGCCCCTGCATCCCTAGAAATGGTCCCTGGCCCAGACACTTGTATGGAGGCACAAATGTTGGACAACTTGAAGCATGCCACCTGCAAACCATAGGCGTGCGCAGCACATTTCATTAGGATGTGCACCCAAAGAATGTTTTTTAAATGTACTTTGACCCCTATTAGCCACACTCCTGACCCCTGTTAATCACACCCATTGGCCACGCCCCGACTCCCATTGGCAACACCTCTGGAGGTAACACTCTCGGGGCAAGATAGACACATGACCAGAAGTAAAAGGTGTCACGTGACTCCCCGCTAAGGACTTTTCCCACCATCCTCCTACCAACAGGGATTAGTTTGGCCCCCACCAAACCCCCTCATGCGACTATCCTGCAATTGCACTAACCTAATGTGTGTGACATTAACTTGGGAGCGGAGAGGCTGGGGAGTAGTGTTCCCTCTAAGGGAATGTCTACACTACAAAGTTAATTTGAACTAACAGCTGTTAGTTTGAATTAACTTTGATAGGCGCTGCACATACAAACCGCTAGTTCGAATTCAGTGCGGTTAATTCGAACTAGGTAAACCTCATTCTACGAGGACTAACGCCTAGTTCGAATTAAGGGCTGTATAGCCACTTAATTTGAACTAGTGGGAGGCTAGTCCTTCCCAGCTTGCCCTGGTGGCCACTCTGGGCACTACCAGGGAAACTCGTCTGCCCCCCTCCCGGCCCTGGAGCCCTTAAAGGGGCATGGTCTGGCTACAGTGCCTATGCCAGGTGCAAACCTGACAGCACCCAGCCAGCAGACCCTGCACCTGGCACGGAACGAGCCAGACACCTGCTGCCACCCAGGAGCCTGCCCGGGGCTGCAAGAGGTGGGCGCCCGCCTGGTCTAGCGCGGAGATCGTGGACCTCATCCAGGTTTGGCGGGAGGCCTCCAACGTCCACGACCTCCGCACTAGGCAGAGGAAAGTGGCCGCCTAGGGCAGGATAGCTGCCAGCCTGGCCACCAAAGGCCACATGCGAACCCAGGAGCAGGTTTGCATGAAAATCAAGGTGGTCCAGTGAGACCCCCAACGCTGAGCCCTGAGCTTAGAACATAAGAGTTTGGATGTGAAGGGGGTATGGACTCTGTGCTGGGGTGTGGGGTGCAGAGCAGCTGCTCAGGGTGGAAGTAGCTCATGGAGCCCTCTGCCTACGAGCCAGAGGGACATGACATCACTTCCTGAAGGTCACACAGAGCTAGGCATAGAGCAGTGGTCTCCAACCTTTTTAAACCCAAGATCACTTTTTAAATCTCAGAACAGGCGAAGATCTACCGCCTCGCCCTTTCCTTGAAGCCCGCCCTCTCTATTCTCCTCCTGTCCATCACTTGCTATTCCCAACCCTTACTTACACACTCTGATAAACAGTTTATTTTTAAATTATGTGATACATACAATTAAAATCACGTGTTTATAGTTAGGAAATAAATGGTCTGTTTTTTATTCATGCTATTTAAATCTACAATGAAGCATTTATAATTATACATTTTGTGAGGATAGAGTTCTGCGGCTGGGGGCGGGGGAGAGGGAACAGGGTGTTGGGAGGGCAGAGGACAGTGTTCTGCAGCAGGGGACAGGGTGCCAGTGGGGACAGAGTTCAGGGAATGGGGACAGAGTTCTGTAGCTGGGGACAGGGGTGTAGGATCTGGGGAGCGGGGACAAGGTGCCAGTGGCAGTAAAGAGTACCCTGCATTTGCTTCGTCCCAGGATTCTCCCCACCCCTCCAGAGGGAAGCCAGCGCATGCCTCCTCTGGGCCTGACTCCCCCTTCTTCTCCCCCCACGGGGCAGGGAAACCCCTTGTGTGCCTGCCCCAGGGCCAACCCCCCCCCCCCTGGTGGGGCCAAACCCCTGCAGGATCGTGTCCCAGGGACAACCCCCCCGCTCCCATGGCAGGGCCAAACCCCCTTTCCCAGGCGGGGCCTAGCCTCGTCTTGACC